CTTGCGGCTACCGTGAAGCTCATAAGTGATAATCCTAAAGTCATGCAAGAGCTTCAGAGAGAGCATGCAATAATTTTTGCAAATAAGTCTGAGAATGAGGCTGGCCTAACATGGGAAGACTATAAATCCATGACGTTCACCAATATGGTAAGTATGTGCACAAAAATCAGTATATGTGATATAGAATATCTAAGATTTACTATTTTCAATTGGTAAATCCGAAGAAACCTTGGCATATATAATGTAGTAGCTCACACAAATATGGTATTTTGTTTCAGGTGATCAATGAGACTCTTAGGATCTCAACCACAGTGCCTGTAATTCTTAGAAAACCTGATCATGACATTAAAGTCGGTGATTATACAATTCCAGCGGGTTGGAACTTCATGGGGTATCCTAGTGCCCATTTCGATCCAAAAAAGTACGAGGATCCTTTAGAGTTTAATCCATGGCGTTGGAAGGTGATTTAAATTTGATCTTCATCTTTAAATTATTATCTCCCTATTTCACTAATCAAATTCTAACATATATCAAAATTCGTTAATAGGGAAAAGACTTGGACGCGATAGTCTCCAAGAATTACATTCCCTTTGGCGCTGGTCCTAGACTTTGTGTTGGGGCTTACTTTGCTAAGCTGTTGATGGCCATTTTTCTACACCATTTGTGCAGATATAGGTTTATTTTCATCATCTGATGATTCATGATTCATGATTCAATTTGTTTTAATTTGTTTTGATAAAATCAATTTATTTGTTACTACAGTCAAAGTCATTACTTCCATCTATATTTTTTGTAGGTGGTCAATGAAAGCAGAGGTCACAGTAACTCGAAGCTATATGCTTATGTTCCCTCGTGGATGTGATGTTCAAATCTCAAAAGATACCCAAGTACATGATTCGGATGTGTATTAGAGTGGTTATATACCATTTGAGGTCCTTGGTTATATTTAAAGCAGTAGTAATATGGTTGTCTTTTTCTAATGAATAAATAAAGCTAAGTAAGAAAAGAACTTTGTATGAAATTATGAAACTACAAAAATTATACTCTATATGTTGAGTTCCAAATTATGTATCTACTGAATAAACAACTTAATCAAAGTATATCCAAATAATTATGAATATGTTTTAGTCATTGCCCGAGGGTGAGTAAAAAGATCATCGCCTTCACCAGTACAGTGAAAAAACATGGTTACAACATGACATCAATTTATTGCAAATAATATTTCCTTAAGCTGAAATTCCTAAATAATATTTATTTAGAGCTCTCGTTCGCCACTGCCAACAAGGGTGAACCGAAGCTCCTTTCAAGACAAAGATCAAAATCAATTGTTCATTCTGTTATTGTCAAAAGTTATTTTCTTCTACCATTGAAGTGCTTAAATATATCCAAAACGAAGATATCGAAGATTCATAAAAACGTCAAGCATAAAGTCTTCTCAAGGGATGTGATCATACCAGCACTAATGCAGTGGATCCAATCAGAACTCCGCAGTTAAGCGTGCTTAGGCGAGAGTAATACTAGGATGGGTGACCTCCCGGGAAGTCTTCGCGGTGCATCCCTCTTTTTACATTAAAAAAAAATAAAGTCTTCTCAAGTACTTTCACACACTTTTGATTGTGTGTTCTATATGCATTTGGTGCTACTTATTTTGGGATTAACAGAGAATTTGTTTATTGGTTTACAAACAAGAGATCAAGATATTTTGAATGTCACGTTATTGATAGAATCTACTAAGGGAGAATTGCATAAGCTTAGGGATGATGGATGGGATTCACTTATGAATAAAGTTTCATCTTTTTGCCAAAAACATAATGTTTAGATGCTTGGCATGGAAGAAGTCTTTGGGGATCAAAAGAAACCAAGAAAGATAACCAATATAAACAACATGCATTAGTATAAAGTCAACTATTTTGCACTATTCTAGATTTGCAGGCTCAAGAGTTCAGTGATCGTTTTATGAAGGTAACCACTGATCTACTTATTTGTATTGCTTATTTAAGTCCTCTTGATTCATTCCACGAATTTGACAAGGTGAAATTGGTGACGTTGGTTAAGTTTTATCTAGATAACTTCAGCTACAGATAAATTTTGTCTCTTGAGCAATAGCTTAATATCTACACTCACAATATGCACAAAGATGAAAGATTTAAGAATCTAAAAAATCTTAGAGATCTTTCACATTTAATATCTTGCATATCTTTTTGGTTTACAGGCTATTGATGTTAGTCTTAACTTTACGAGTTGCTACAACAAATGTTTAGAGATGTTTCTCTACAACGAAACTGGTGAATACGGCTGCACGTAATCGAATACGGCTGCTATCTTAAAAAGTAGCTGTTTGAATCTGTCACAAATGAAAAGTAATAAAAAATTCAAATGATAATTGAGCAAATTTATATAATGTTTTAAGGTTTTCATATGACAATATAATGTTTTATTTTTTTGGTTATATTTTTGCCTTCAGTGAACAAATTTTTCTAGATCTGTTCCTGATCATTACATAGATAAATTAATTAGATCAAGACACTAGGATTAACGGAAGCAAAGGCTAGGAGTTCTGTGTTCTGCTCGAAAGACATCATGTTCTCTTTAGGCAATGTGACAAACGCTTCAATTCCTTGTCCGTCCTTGGAATCAATCAACATAGTTACGTTGTCTAACATTGGAGCCACATTACCGGCAACCCAAACCGGCGACCCCCAGCCAAAACTGGCCTCATAAAGCGGTAATTTGCACCAGCTACTCACAGTGTATGGCTCGTGAGTCTCATAGCTCAACTGCGAATAATTAGTGAGCATTAAATTTGCTAGTTTAGAACCAATCATCGAAGAAGACGACCCACCCTCGTCTTTGATTACATTTTGCAAGTCATCTCCCTTTTTTCGTAAGTCTTTAACGGCCTTTTCAATATTAACTTCCTCTTCTTGATTAATACTCAAGACGACAGAAGAGAACATTATATTTCCGATCAGGCTTTCAGGGAGAAGGGACGGTATCTTGGGGCGCAAGTTAGAGGGCTGGATCAAGACCTTCATATCACAAGCATTTTTGTTTGAGGATGCAGCTTCAATGATGACTTTCCAAAGAAGCGCAGTGACGCTTTCCACCCGCGTAGGTCGGGCTACAAAGTCTTCACTAGCGGCTTTGGTCCTGAGCTCCTCCAACTTAGACGCACTGAACACGAATCTCTTCGTTGTTTTGCTGATCTTGTTGGCATTTTCGTCAACCGGAAACTTAAAAAACTCATTAGCGGGTGGGTAGAAATTTGCAGCCGCAAACTCGGGACCGGCCACTGCGTCGCCAGCCTCTCCTCGAGCCATAGCAGCCCAAGACTGAATAAAAGTGGAGATGGAGGTTGCGTCCGCGATTTTGTGAGTGATGCAGATTCCTATGGCCATGCCACCACATGGAAAGTAAGTCGCCTTCACTAGCAACAAAGGCCATGTAGTAGCTGCCTCGTAAGGATCATCGATGACGTCCAGAGGAAGTAACTGCTGGAGGGTTTTGAAATCAGGAGATCTCAGGATATCAGAGAGAGGACAGTTATTGACACGAGCGTCAACAAAAATAACTCCTTCGTTGTTACAATCGATAGTGACGCCATTGATTCTGCCGGCAAGAGGGTAGAATTTGGTCAAGGTTTCGGACAGAGAAGTCTTGAGTTTTTGGGAACTGTGTTCTGGAGAGATCAAATCATGTTTTGTGTAGAAGAGAAATGCGACTGTGTAAACTGGAGGGAGGATGTGATCATAAATAGAGAGTTGGAGAGTTTGGAGATCATTTGGAGTTGTGGAAGATGGTTTTATGATTTCTTTAGAGATTGTTTCTACCTTCATCATCTCCATCGATTTTTCTTTTTTTTTCTTCCTAATGATTTTGTTTTGTTTAATAAATTTAGTTCTCTCCAGTGCATGGAGAAGTACTCCTTTTTATAGAGGTATAGTTTACTACGGCCAAATCTTCATCACTTGCTTTTAGGAAAGAGTCTTTTTGGGGAAAGAGCCTTTTTCTTTAGTAGGTTTAGACTTTAGAGAATATAGTGTGTAACTCTTTTGACTATTTCGTGTGTTAAAATTTCTTATGTCGTTTGGCCAAAAATATTAAATCAAAACCAAACATATAATCAACCGAACTTCAACATAATGTTTGTTTAAAGTTTTTTAAAAAACTTACTAAATATTAAAAAAAGGATTTATTGATTATTCCGTGTAATACACGGATCCTAATCTAATTTGAAGTAAAGTCCATATTTTAATCAAGAAGATCCACTTTTATTTGATTTCATGAATCATTAATATTTAATTAAATCACCAAGGAATAATCTACAGTATTCAAATTGGGAAGCAAAGACAAAAAAAATGATTTCTTTTCATAATGGCTATTTATTTTGATAAGATTACGTTGTATAAAAAGTAAAATATTTGCTATAATACAAAAATAAAGAAAAAATATATATGGAAAATTACAACATAAAGGCCATTTGTTAAAGTTTATCATAAAAATTTTAAAACATAGACAAAATATGATTTCTTTTCATTAATGGCTATTTATTGTGATCAGATTCACTAAAAAAACAAATATTCGCTACATCAGTTTTTGCTTTTATATTTTTTATATAAAAGAAAAATAAAATTGGACAAATCGCAAAAAAAGAATTAAATATATCAAGTTTGTTTTATTTTTCATGACAAACTAATAAATTAATAGATAAAGATAACAATGGACAAATGGCAACATAAAGATCTAAATTAAACCATGACATCATCTTATGGATATTAAAGATCAATAATGCCTCAGCCAAAACTGATTGAGAGAATTACTTTAATTTATCTTTTTAAATCACACTTTTGCTATATGACAAAAAAAAATTTAATTTATCTCCCGAAAATAATAAAATTTATTTTTCACTTACACCCGTTTGAAAGTGTAGTCGAGGATGATCCCGCTAATTCTTTTATCCTATTTTGGAACTCCTTGATTGTTTTTGAAATATGCACCTCGCCTTCTCCATTCCAAATCATCCAGGAGAAATTTTGGTTTAAATGTTTTATGACAAAAGGGCAGATATCTTGGGACACAATTTAGCCGGTTGGAGCAACACTTTCTCATGAGTTGTGTTTGAAAATGCTACAACAATGCAATTCTAGAGAAGAAAGTGACGTTTGTGACAATGTATGGCAAGCCTCCGCGTTTCCCTTAGCAGCTTTGTTCCGCATATCTTCAATCTAAAATGCTAAAATAAATATGTTGGTTATAAAATTTCTCTTATCGGCTTAGCTGTCTGTTGGAATTCTGAAGCCTTCATTGGCTGGTGGATACAACTTTTACGTTGCAAATAGGACAACAAGCATTGGGAAAAATGGCTAAAATCAACTTAAACAATTTACAAAATGCTTTTTCATACCCAAAAAGTACTATTATGCACTTTTAAATTTCAACTAATAGAAAATTTGTATTATCTATATGAACCATAAATCCATTAGTTATTGAGAAACCGTAAATTATAAAACCAAGAGCACAACAACCCTAAACCAAAAAATCATTTCTTTCTCTCATTTTGGTTTCGACAACAACCCACGGCGGCGACCGTATCCTCCGCCATAACCAATCCTCACCACCACCACCGTCGCTGTTACGCCACCGCACCAGAGCCCAACCGAAAAGCTAAATCCAATTCTTCTCTCACCAAGCTACTCCCGTCACTACCGCAGCAACACTCACCTTCTCCTGCTCCAGTCTCCGCGACTCATTCTCTCTCTAATCACTTCTCTAACGTCGTAAGATGGATTCCAGATGGCTCGTTGGAGTATTACGCTGATTTCGCCTCGAAGCTCGCTGAGGATGGCCGAATTGAGGACGTCGCTCTCATCGCCGAGACCTTGGCTGCAGAGTCAGGAGCTAATGTGGCACGCTTCGCTTCCATGGTTGATTATGATCTCTTATCGAAAGGGATTTCGTCGAATCTTCGACAAGGTAAGATTGAGAGCGTTGTTTACACTTTGAAGAGAATTGAGAAGGTAGGGATTGCTCCATTGGACCTCGTCGATGAAACGTCTGTGAAACTAATGAGGAAACAGTTTCGTTCAATGGCTACCTCTTTGCAAGTGGAGAAAGCTATTGACCTAATGGAGATTCTTGCCGGTAAATACTATATCAATCTTGCTGTTACACTGTGACTATGAACTCGTGAATTGATTGGCTACTTCTTATTTCAGGTCTCGGATTCAAAATCAAAGAGCTGGTGGATCCTTTTGATGTTGTAAAGAGTTGTGTTGACATTTCCAATCCTCAATTAGCTATTAGGTAAGGCTTGTTTACACTCCCCACATAACGATTCAAGTTAATGGTTTTGAAATTCAGAAAGTAACCACAAGATTTTTGAATATAGTGTGCTGATAACGATTTGATGAATATGGAATGCAGATACGCATGTCTTTTGCCGCATACAGAGATATTGCTTTGTAGAATTATTCATGGTTTCGGAAAGAAAGGAGATATGGTCTCTGTTATGACCGCATATGAAGCCTGCAAAAAGATTTTGGATACTCCTAACATGTATATATGCCGCACTATGATCGATGTTTGTGGCCTGTGTGGGGATTACGTTAAATCGAGGTTACCGTAACCAGAAACACTTTATGCTCGTCTTTAAGCGGCAGAGCAAATCCATTGATGATACTTCCCAAAATCTCTAGAAACTCAGCAATCCCGTTATGTTTCTCAGTCTCGAAAACAAACTGATAGAAAATGTTGTTAATGGATTTCCTTATGAAAGGACGATGAACCATAAATTTACCGTAGATGCGATGTAGAACGGTCTTAAGACAATCTCTTTCTCTAGGATCCTCGGAATCAAATAAATCAAGTATCCGTGAGACAAAAGATTGGTCAATGTATTTCTTAGCCAGCTTGGTGTCTGTCTCGGGTGATGCAATAAGCCGCAGGAGATGGTGTATCAGAGTATGTCAATCTCAAATAATGGATGTGTGGCGCTACAATCGCAATTGGTCCTGTGTCGCAATATTGCCGATGTATATCCAATCTCCCCATTAATGATAAATTTGGTTGTACCGGTTCAATCTCTTTAACCACCGACGTTGACTTGTTACCAATCTTCTTCTCGAGTCCAGTCCGGTGATTATGGTTATCTGTTAATAATGTTAACTTGATAATTTAATCTGTTTATTCGCCTTTTTATCGAATTTCAATTTTTAGAATTTGGAGATGTGGATACTCTGAGAAGAATCGTCATATATTTATCTAACTAAAAATAAAAGTTAGTGTACCACGGCACTTGTGATCCTATGAGAATTAAATTAGCACATAGAAACAACATAATTACTTTATCAAAAAAAAAAAAATTAGTATACCACGGCAAGTACTTCATTTTGGTATGCAATTTATATGAGTTTATGTTCTTGGTTCAACTTGTACAACTAAGAGGAGTTTAAAATTAAAATTATATCTATGCCATTTTAAAAATTAAATCGTAACAAGTGATTTTTAACATTAAAAACTTTAAACTTTAATAATTTATTACATTTTCTATTTTCAAATATAATATATAAATTTTTAAAAATTCATTTGATAATAAACTTGTTTTTACACAAATCACTCTTTGTGTAACAAGGAACATTTAGTTCATGATGACCTATATTGATGCAATAAATAGTGAAACTATTATTTCCTGAATATTTTCCTATCAAAACTTCTTAAAAACCGATCTAATGTGAAAATTAATGTGACCAACTAGATTTATATTTTCGATTTCAAGGTTCAACTTCAAAATTACGAAATTTCATTTAGTTCAACTATGAAGGAATCAGGACAACAAGACATCTACATACAACTATGTACAATATCTAGTTGTCAAGGACCCCACAAAAAATTAAATGTCGTAATATAAATTTTTTTAAAGGGTAAAATCGACAATTCATAATGTTATGTTCGCCCTAGTTAAGTCTAATCGCTAACAATTTCTTATAAATCTATCACCACATACATAATCTATATTACGCCTAAACGTGTTTGTTGAGTAAACCGTAACTCTGCCACGTTATGACAGAGTTACCGAGGTAACTCTGTCATAAGGATTAACTCTGTCATGTTACGACAGACTTATTTCGCAAAATCTGTCAAGTAACTCTATATCGCTCATTAAGTCTGCTGCCACTACATGTTACTCTTCCGCATAACTCAATATTTTTTTAACTCTGCCACCACATACGTTAAATCTGTCACGGTGCTATTTTAGTAAACTTAAAGTCATCATAATCTGTCATGTAACTCTGGTTTTTTTTCAACTCTGCCACCACTGTAATTAACTCAATCAAATAACTCTATCGCCTTATTACTCTATCACATAACTTATTCAACCTAATAACTCTAACGTGATAATCTACCAAAACCTATTAACTCTATCGTCACTACAACGATAGACTTTTGATGTGGAGGGAAATTTTCCCTCTTAAAACTCACTTTCTCTCTCTGACGTGGCAGCATCTTTTAATGGCAGTTTTGTAATAATTTTTTTCCTACAACAACAATTCAAGGGTTATTTGGCCATTAATGATCAACAAATCGTACAAGCTATATCAGTAATAAACACACTTTTATGTGTTATTTGAGTAACTCACCCTTAGTTATTTCCTATTTTGACTTTTACAGTATTAATCCACTGTCTAACGGTGCCTAATTAGACGCGTAATTAATATGAAGTGTAGCAAAGCACAATGATGTAGTTTTAGTCGTTTTGGTAGTGTTATGTTTGCAACGAATGACGTCGTTTTGAAATTAGGGATACAATCGAAATTTGGTTATGCACCTCGCCTTCTCTATTATTTATCCTAAACTTTATCCTCAGTTTCAATTTTATCTCTAATTTCACAACAATGTTGTTTGTTGTGTACACAACACAACCAAACCAACCAAAACTATATTGTTTTTTTTTTGCCACACTTCACGTTACGCGTCTAACTCTGCACCGTTAGACGGTTGACTAACATTGTGTTAGTCAAAGTAGGAAACGGTGAGCAGATTTACTGTTTAGGTAAATAATTTAATTTTTTTGTTGGTTCATATTTAAAAATGTATGGTATCATTCTTTGGATATAAAAAGGTATTATGCAAAATGTTTGAATTGATTTTGGCCAGTTTTTCACAAGCACTACATCGTGAATACTCAAAAGTTTAATATAGAGCTGGAATATAGAATGAATTTCTATTTAAATGAACAAAACTATAATATTCAAAAGTTTCAAATAATTTATAAGCGTATGGAACACCAAAAAGTATTTAAATGTCGATCGCACAAAAAATTGGAAGAACAGTGCTGTCAAAAAAAAAAAAGTTGGAAGAACATACTAGGGTATCAAGAAATCACAAGCTTAGACAACAAAATTGGTTTTCGGTTTTGTCAACTAAGCATGAAAGTTAAAAAAAATTCAAAACATTTAAGTAAATGCAAGTAAAGGAAACATGGAAAATGAGTTTAGGCAATAGACTAGGGTGACAAAATATTGATCGCGTGTGGAATGCCTAGATTATATATTCTTAGTATTTTAAGTCAAATCTAACGCTAAGTATATTGTAAGTGATGCTAAACATAAAGGCTCTAGGCCTAACATCACGAAAATACCATATAGACTAAACGTTAAGCGACAAAAAAGCAAGTAGTAATGCAAGATATGAGTTCTATGGTTTTGAATGCAAAATGTAAATGTAAACAAAGACTAAGGGTACTAACTTATGAGTTAAATATTTTAGGCAATAGGGTGTTTATGGGAGAAACGTAAACTGAAAATTGAGTATGAAATAGAAAATCAAGTCATGAATCCTTGTAGACTTCAAATCACTTATTTATAGTTAACCTATTGTCACATTATTAACTACTAAGAAGAAAAAAAACCAAAGGACGTTTGTACCACTTTTTGTCTCCTCTTTCTCTATCGAAAATTGTGCTAGATCTATATTTACTTTGATGATCGTAGGCCTGAACACGACCTTAAAGGAGAATAATATGGGATCGGAACAAAAAACACTCCTTAATGAAATTAACCAGGGATCGGCAGAATACAAAAAGATTCAGGTGCCGATCGGCTAAATACAATAACAGGACGATCTAATTAGCCGAAGTATCAAGCCTAGTTAGTTTTGGGTAGAACCGGATAATTCGTGATTTCCACACCAGTCCAAGTGTCCTTTCTCTGCCGCCTGGTACCTGCTTTTATAGCAGTGATTTGACACTTCGATCTTTTTCAGGATCGATGTGGGATCATTAGGTTACACGTGCGTAACGGCGGCGATTGCTGTTGGACGGCCGGTTCCTCGACTGGCCGATCGCTTAATGGGCCTATCATTTTCCGAATGGGCTGTCCAGCATTGATTACTTGGTTAGCGTATCAAGGAGATTCTATTATTTTCTTGATGGGCCGGTTTGGATGTTGGAAGGGCAAAGCCCATGTCCAACATACTTTAATTTTCAGTTTGAGCTAAATCAACGGGTTGATGGTTAATAATTGAATGAAGAGAATCAATCTTTCCTTCTCCGGCGGTGCTGAGGCATGGAGGAATCGCGTGGTGAAGCGAGTCGTAAACTGGTTTCCGCGGTTGAGTACTTGAGTGTGAGGACAGCTCTGGAATGGATGTTATTGATCGATGTTGTTTTAGTTGTACCGGTCTAAATGAATTTTATCTGTTCGGATTGAATTAATTTATTATATTAAAACAACACTATAAATAACGTCTTCTATATTGTTGTTTGAATTTAAAGTCCAAATTCGATAATATCACTAAGTTTCTTAATGAATAGTTGGAGCTGCTTTTAGACGCATCAAAGTTTTTTGACCCAATTAAAGGATTTTCTTCCAAATCCTTCATATATTTTTAAATTATGAATTCTCTCACTTTACCGTTTGATAAATCTTAAACCTGCAGTATTGAAGCATATCATCCAAAATCTTAGGTGCAATTTTTCTCCTACCTTTAGATAAACAACTTGCTGCATATTATTAAGTGTTATACTTATAGTCATTTCATAGTTTATTGCTATGACTATTTGAAAAAATATCGTAATTACTATTAGAAAAATTACCAATATGAGAAACATTGTCAAGTATTTTGTTAAGCAAAATTGTTTTTTTTTTTGCAAAACGCTTCTAAAACAGATCAAACTTTTTATCGTACCTTCTATAGAGAGTAATCTGTCGCAACAAAATGTAGTTTATAGTTCTTCTCTTCTTTTTCATTACACTGAAATTATATTTTTCACAAACAGTAAAGTGAAAATCATAGAGACAATATACAAAATCACATTAGACAGACAATGTTTCTAAATTCGTTCGAAGTTTGAAACTTGAGGGCATCTTATGACGTGCGGTTCTAAGAATGCCAAAGTAGAAAAAATTTCTTATATTCGGATTGGTTCTACTTAACCCAAGAAGTTATTCCATTACTCTATATTAAGTACTGAAAATTAACAAACCAAGATGGCCTTCGGACCTTTATTCTCCGGTGAGCCGGGGCATCCAATGCGGCAACGTTGTATTCGTCCTCCGAATTAGGGTTCCATCAGCTACTTCTCCCTCTCCATTCCTTTGTGATGTATCCCTATACGTAGTTTATTAATTCATTTCATATACATAATAAATAAATATTTATTGACGCTACTCATTTATCAATTAATTATATATACAACTATAATATGTTAGCTTACTATCACTAATATTGTAGCAATGTGAAATCAGACTATTTAGTACCCAGAAGATAAAGGAGGAGGAGGAGGAGATTGTGTCCAGGGAAGCGCATGCGGTGATTCACATGGCGGCGTTGCCAAGGAGGCTAAGTCATGGCTGAGGTTTTGCGGCTGAAAGTCTTCTCTTTCACCAGCCTGCCATATTCAATACTTGTTAATTATAGTTACTATTTACCATTCACCGATTGGTTAACATTCAAATATAATTATAAAAAAAATCAAACTAAAAATCTGTAACTGATTGAGAAATTTCAAACTAGAACCTAGACCAATCTCGGGTAAAAATTTAAGTGAATAATAAATTAAATAAGAAACTTGTTATATATATAGTCAAAGATTCTAACATCAATTTCACCTTCTTTGTTAGCTGTTTCTTCAGTTCTTTTAGTTCCTTCTCCTATGCCATGAAAAGAAAAGAAGCATATTTATTAGTTTTAACTCATTTCGACTCAAGTATTCTAGATCTATTACGTGTATTTGTGTTTAATTCTGAAATCAAAGACTACTGATTGTGAAGATCTGCTATAAGTAAAAAAAAAAGATATACTATAAGTATAATGTTTTGTACAAACCCGAAAAGAAAAAAAATGACAGGCAGATACACAAGAGTTTTGCATGGCACAAGTATTCCTAGGCAAAATAACCAAATCGGAACCAAATCTAGAGGAACCGAATCGAAACAGAACCGAAAATTCTAAAATGTCTGAATGGATCATAAATTCCAGAACCCGAACCAAACTGAAATATTTTATGAATCCGAAAATATATACCTAAAACTACAATTATACACCAAAAATATTAGTTATTTTTTTACCAAATAAACGAAAATATTCGAAATACCAAAAATTACCTGGAAAAATATCCAAAACAATTACTCGAATGGATCCTAAACTCCAGAATTAAAAGAACCGATCCAAACCAAAGATTTTGATACATAAACCTAAACTTTAGAACCCAAAAAACCAGAACCAAAATCGACCCGAGAACTTAAACCCCCAGGTCTAGGCACAACCATGACAACGATTGTCTCTACAGTAGTGTATTACCTTTTTCTGAAGTTGTGCTATGGACTCTACCATGAGCTGGTTCTGTGCTCCCAAACAAAAAAAAATAACTAGACGATTAGATGTGGTGTATCTATATATCTGTGTATGTTAATGCATATACACACTGCATATATATATATATATATATATATATATATATATATACATTTGTATATACAAATGATCCATGCATGTATACAAGATATAGAAAAAGAACCTTTCTAGAGCGAGTTCTCTTGAGGGCAGTATCAAGTTGCATCTCCAGACCTTGAAGCTCTCTCATACTTAGACCATCCACCTCTTCTCCTCTTAAGTGCCTTATAATATGAAATAAATATGCAATTTATTAGCTTGTATATTTAGATACCTTATGTATATATCTATGTTTGGATGATACTTTAGTAATAATTTTCTAACCTTAAGCTTCTTTGCAGGACATCAATCATCCTCAAGAGCTTTGAACATTCTGTTGAACACTCTCCCTACAAACGATGAAAAGATCGATACACGATAGTTAAGTTTACCATAAACAATGATTCATATACTCACATGTCTTGAATGTGCTTAAGAACCTGTGAATCCAAATTTGGTGTAGGAATATCTTGACCGGCGTAGGAAGATCTCTCATATCGATCAAGAATTCTCTCCATGCTAAAAAAAGCGTTATATTAAACAAGAATCAACACTCGATGTATATACTATCACCATTCAACAATAAATTGAACATATTGAATAATCATTTTGGTACTTTAGTTGAAACTTTTCTAAATTAATTAAAGCACTATCGAGAACTTTAATTTACATTTGCAAACCATTTGATACATTAATTTAATGTATTGTTTAGACTATAGCAATCGATATATCAAGTCTACTCAAATTTTGTTAAAACATATGTGTTTGCAAGCAATTTCATTTTCAACATATTAAGCCTAGAAGCTAGAAAAGTAGCTTCATGGGTTTGTATATTTTCATGTAACGATCGAGGTTAGTCCTAGGTTCGACCAACAAAAAGACAAAACAATGCACAAAGCTCTATGACAAAGGCTTGTCATGCTTGCAATTTCCAACAAGATTTTAGCTGTATATCTTAAATTTTTATTTAAACATTAATCGAATTATAGTTTCATGTTTACTATTATTAGTTACTACAATCATGATCGAAAGCTGACTCTTCCTATTTATAGTAGATTTCTTTTCCCTCTTTAGTATATTTGTGTATATTGAGATAATTCCTTTTCTTTTATTAAGTTGTTCATTTGAACTAATGATACCGTTATCAAAAGACTATAACATTAGAAATTACATGAACCTAGAAAAATTACATGTGTCTTCTTGTTACGAGATTATGTAGTAAGATCGTCAGAATGATACTGGATTAAGCTTTTTAAAAATCGAATTGCTATTTTTAGTTCAATTCTGTTATTCATTTTATATAAAAAATTTCTGATAAATAATGTTTTGTTATTACCAAAATATGTTTCGTAAGTTAAAACCCATCAAAATTATTTTCTATGACAAATACTTTTAGTGAACATTTTATTTTTATTTTTATACATAGCAGAACTATTGCTAGAGAAGAACTTTAAAATTATTAGATTCAAGATCCCGTTTTTTTTTTTTTTTCCTTCACCTATTTACTTGAATTTGTATATATTATACCTTGAAATATATAAAATGAACGTCAATCTCCCATGAGTGCCTAAGTAAACTAACTTTGAGCATTAGATCTACTTATATGATCTACTTAATGTGTTAAATCTAAAATTTATGTACAGACTTTATATCAAATTTCTCTTCAACCTTATGTAGATCATTTTTGTATTATCCCCAGAACGTTGAAGAAAAAACTTACACAGAGATGAAAAGAAAGATCTCTCTTTATTCATGGTATGTTCAACATACGTCCTCAAGAATCAAATTCTGTTAATACGTAGATTATTTCCTAATTATGTTTGCCCAATTAGCACATTCTTCTACCATTTATTTTTTTGGATAATATATAATCTATATATGGAACTATTGTTTATCTCACAATTTTTTTTATTATTATTATCTCAGAATTATTGTTTGATGGGATCATCTCTATTAATCACTTCTTTAGAGTATATAGCATATAGTATTGTAAAATCATTCATTTTTATGATCTCCCCTAACTTAGAGATGCAAGAACTAATGAAAATTGCTATAAACTGATCTAATTAATTAAACAATCTCAGCCAATTTCAAATCAATCTCCACTAGCTGAAACCTACTACTTTCCCCAATATGTCAAACATGAAATATAAGCTAATATATGCGATCTTAAAATAAGATTGTAAATTAATTAGCGTAGGAAGAATCAAACCTGGAACCGGCAGAGTACTCAAAGAGCTTGCCTTTTGGGGAGAAGACAATCAAAGCAACATCAGCATCACATAACACTGAGATCTCTTGAGCTTTCTTAACCAAACCGGTTCTTCGCTTTGAAAATGTCACTTGTCTCCTAATCTTGTTCTCGATCCGCCGTAGCTGAACCCTTCCCCTTCCCATATCTACAAATTCTTCACAGGTTTCTTGGAAACCAAAGAGAGAGCTAAAAGAAGAACTTGGAACTTTGACCACAGAAGAAGAAGAAGAAGAAACCCTAGATTCTCTTAAAAAGAAGAAAAGTAGAGTTTGATGAGAAATTACGCGAAGATTTTATTTATTTTTCTATTTTTGTGAACTTATTCATATACATATATTTATACACACAAATGGCATATGGAAGAAAAAAGAGAAAGTATCAAATGATACATTTAGGGAAAGTGAGAGCATAAAACAAGTATTTATGTCTTTGTGTCCGAAATAGTCTTGACGATATATTATAATTATCAGTGAATGAAGTTAATAATTAACCCAATTGCTGGTTTTAATCGTACGGAGTTTGGCTCCTTCCAATTAATTGTAGAACCTGTAATTATCAAGATCAAAGTTCTATTAACAATTGCTGCTGTGATACCATTGGTTCTTATGACTATATATGATATAAAATATAAGAATGGATAAGAAGATACAAATTAAAATATTAATAAAGAGCTTGACCTATCACAATGTTAACCACCACATGATAACAATTCATCTATTTGTACGTTAAAGACAAAATTTTAAGACCCTTAAATGGAACTAAAAGAAATGAGATTAAGAAAAAAAAAGTATAGACGTGAAAGATCAACTTACAACTTACAACTTACAAATATTTATTTTATTGTAGTCAACGTTATATTAATATTCACGTTTAAATCTATAAATAAAATATAGAAATCTAATGAATGATTAAATAACAAATTACTGTAACAGTTTTTTTATGTTTTCTGATAAAGAAAGCAACAACCGAATATTGTTTTTTCATCTTTTTGCTTAGAGTGTGAGCTATTTAAAGATGAAATAGAACCATGGTGTGACAATTATTTTTGTGTTGCATTATGTTCCTTTTGCTTAAAACTGCATTATGTTCATTATTTACGGAAATTTAAGTCGTGTTATTTTTGTACTTTCATAACAAATATGAACTTACTAAATGCATTTAAAATAAAAATATGTTTGAATTTGAATCAGACATATATTCATCTTCGATTTCTAAAAATTTACCAGGGATTTTACCATGTTGCATCTTATGTCATGGTGTATGTGTTACGGTTAAACTGGTACATTATTGATATGGTTCAGGTTGAGCTGTCTTGTAGATTCACTGGACTACCAAATTGGAACAAATTGGAGAGTTTTAAATGAGTTTTTTATACTCTTAAAAGTGTTTTTATAAAATTAATATGTGCTATAGCTTTTTCTCTTCTGCATATTACCATTAGTATTAGAAAATATTGCATTTATATTTTATTGCAAATGATTTTACAACAAGCGAACCGAAGTTAACTACTTTAAACATACTGATCCACAGTTGACAGTTTTACCTAAACCATATCTACAATGGATCATTTTAGTCATTGGTCTTAATACAAATACCATGAGAGAAGACGCAACATGATTACATGAATGTGATATATCATTAATTCATGACATGTTTATGGCAATAAGTATGTATACGGTTAGCGGAAACAGAAGCACAATTGTGGCAGTCTGCCCAAATTGAGCTTCATCATGAAACTAATGGTACTGTGGAATTGGTAAATCGGTCTCGAGTGGGGAATACTTCACTTGACTCGAATTATTCAGGATACCGTTGCTTTGTGGATGGATCGTGGAAAGAAAGTGATAAGTTCTCCGGTACAGGATGGTTCTGTACATCATCAAACGGAGAGCCGCCAACCATGGGAGCTGCAAATCTCCGTCGAAGTTTATCTCCATTACATACCGAGTTCGAGGCCCTTCTCTGGGCGATGAAGTGTATGATAGGTGCAGATAATCAAGAGGTAGAGTTCCTTACAGACTGTTCTGATCTGGTTAAGATGGTGTCTTCTCCAACCGAATGGCCGGCGTTTTCAGTGTACTTGAAGGAATTTCAGAGCGACAAGGAAGAATTCTCATCATTCTCTTTATCTTTAATTTCTCGCAATGCTAATGTAAAAGCGGATCATCTGGCACGAAAAATTCGTACAGAACCGCTTCATATCACATTTGTAAACAACATTCCACAGGAATGGCTCTTTTGAGCTCTAATTAATTTCGGATGACAAAAAAAAAAAAAAAGTATGTATATGGTTTTTTTTTTTTTTGTAATCCGAAATTACTTAAAGCTCAAAAGAGCCATTCCTGGGGAATGTTATTTGCATATGTGATATGAAGCGGTTCTGTACGAACTTTTCGTGCTATATTATCCGCTCTAACATCAGCACTACGAGAAATTAAAGATAAAGAAAAGGTTGAGAACTCTTCCTTGTCGCTCTGAAATTCCTCCAAATACAATGAAAACGCCGGCCATTCGGTTGGAGAAGACACTATTTTCACCAAGTCAGAACAGTCTGTAAAGAACGCCACCTCTTGATTATCTGATTATATATATGGTTATATGAGGGATTATGTATTAACTCAAATTGGCAGAACTTTAAGTGCATTCTACGTTTTCTCTCGTATCCTAAATTTTGAACGTCAAAATTGATACATTAATTTAAACCAGAATTTAATCCACAACTACAGACGAATTATAATTTATTTTTTGAAAATTAACAATATAATTAATATTTTTTTAGTTCTGTATATAATTAAAAAAAAAAAAATTAGGAATCTCATTATCTCAAAATAGAACAGTCAACTTGGTTGAATTTGGAAATAATTATAAAAGACAATCTCCGTGGTGGTTTGGTTTTGGCCAAAAATCGAAATATAGATGAGTTTAGGATTTTGAAAATGAGGATGCCTTGTCTAGAATGTAGGTTAAATAGAACTTAAGAAGGGTTTAAATATATAAAAAAATATCACGAAATTAGATTGGTTAATGGTAAACTAATGATTCGGGGATTCTAAAATTGAGAAATCCAAATTCATTTTAATAGAGCCTTAATAATAATTCTAGAACATGACTTTAAGTAGATATTAAATTTTTTTAGTTGGCATGCATTTTAATTAAGTATATAAAAATTTCATTAAATATCCCTGGAAGAATTAGAGAAATAAGTCTAAAAGTTTTTGTAGCTTGGATATATAACCACTTTTTTTCTTTTGAACAAGTTAAAATTTAAGAATACCCTCCACTATCCAAGTGATATTCTTTTAAACATATTTTAAAATTTTCAACTTCTTCAAACTATAACAAACATATTCAAATTGATCAAACATTTTCAACTTCTTCAAATTGATCGAACCTTCGCAAAAGAAAAAAAAACACACACCCAATTTCATAGAAGTTTCTTAAAACTTGGCCGTCCATGGCTTCATATGAGCTTTTGCAGTGTCGAAAAATCAACATTCCTTAGTTAGAAAACCAGCCAATGTCATTTGATATCTTGAGTTTCGGATTTGAACCTCATAGTTTATGAAGCCCTAATATTATGAATAAGAATCGAGATTGGTATCGATGGATTTGCATCTTCATGAGAATTCAATATGGGTAGTAATCGACCTCCAACTCTAATAATAATAAAAAAAAAAAAAAAGAAATTGATCTTTTAAGCTCTATTTAGAAAGAACAAAATATTGTTTTGGCAAAACTGAGCATAAGTACAAAACTGAGGATATATATAGATTTAAGACAAAAATATTTTTTTTCTTGATCTTTGATAATATCTTTAAAGACAAAACTATCTATTTCCAACAGAAAATGAGGTGAGGAACAAAGAGTCAACATCCTCCACTCCCAGGAAAACCTTTGTGCACTAAATGAGTTTGTTCTACGTTTGATAAAAGTTATTTGATTGTCTAAAACCATTATTATTATTGTTTTTCATATATCTAGGCGCTATTTATATACATATGAAGATTGTTGAAATAAATTTGAACATAAGACATCTACGAAGATTGATTTTCGCATAGAATGCCAAATTACTATAGGGGTGATAAATTGGTAATTGAGATAGCAAAATGTTCATTTAGAGGCGTACTTTTACGTATATATGTATACTAATGCTTGAAATTCTATATAAACGTTTACATATGTTATGCTTATTTATAGAAAATAATGTAAGTGCCTAGTTGTATGTATATACGTTCCTAAAGTAGTGGTCCATTGCAAATTAAAAATAACTTAATTTGGGTTAATGCGATTTAGTACTAGATTAGTAATAAAAACTTGAGCGCTATAGACCTTTCATGGGTTCACATTCAAATGTGGTCCGCTGCACTAAAATATATTAATAGTTAGTCACTTTTGATTTTCAAAAATTCATATATTTAGTGTACTATTACCAACTTATATAATGAAGATTATGGGGACCATAATGCATAAATTAGGCTTCCAAATTGTACTAAACCCTAATATTCAAATCTCACGCTGAGCTTTCAAAGGTTGGGGACCATCCGATTTCGCGGTCGCAATAATAAAATATTTAAAAAGATAATAAATTTTTGTAAGAAAATTTGGAAGATAATATAATTTTATTCAGATAAACAAAAGTAAAAAACGATCTATCATAAAATTACGATATTCATTTTTTCATTAGTGGGATTATAAGACATGGGTTACTAGGATGATGGATGACATGCTTCTTGGGAACAACTAGTGGGTATAGATATATATATTTGAAGAATCAAGTAGATGTGGTACCACAAATGTAGGCCAAAGGGGAACTCTTACACGATGTCGCAATTCCTAGGACAAGTTTGTGTTTTGCAATTGACCCTTTGATGAGATTGAGGGACATGCCTTTTTTTTTTTTTTTAAATTCCCAACGCTCTCTAATTTCTATACATACAAGTTCTTTCTTTCAAGGGTAAACACCGTCAATGTTTACTACTAATCTCAATATTTGTAGTTTAATCAAGGGTTTAATTTAGATATAAAGAATATTTGAGGTAATAATCAGCGCTCTATTAATGTTGGCCAATAGCAACAATTATCAGTATATATTATACTTGTGTAAACCCTAGCCATATATGTGAGAAAACAAATACTCTTTATGTATACTTTATTATGTGTATTTTAAGATCATTGGATCAAAAAAGTTAAAAGAAACAGAACTTCTTCTTTTCTTTTCTTTTTTCATACAAAAGCAGAACTTCTTTAATAACTTATATTGTTCTAGAAAACAATAAACTATTAATAAAAATTTAAAGCATGAAAAGATTCGTATACCAAATTGAAAATAGATAGTTGAGGATTAGGGAAGATGCTATGCATATAATTGGACACCATTCTTGCATGCTCCAATTTGCACCATCAACCTTTTTTTTTATAACTTTTTTTCCTTTTGAGCATTCCCTCACAATAATTATGAATTAACCTCTTTTGGTTATTATATGTAAGTGGGTACGAAGGACAGACACAAAAACATAAACAATTCAAACCAGTGGCAAACTGACAATGCATCAACCTCTGGATATCGAATAATAACGACTATGGGTTTAAACAAGTTAAGAAAGTAATCTTAAATATTCTTCGTATTAAAATATATGATTATTTTCAACTTATTCACTAAGAATTTACAGTTTTTAAAGCCTTGAATTTTCCCAGTTTCTGAATTCAACGGTCTAAACAATTGTTTTGTTGACGAACAAATTTTTTACGCAAAGTTTTTAGAACTTTATAAGTTTTTTCAGTTTGTTACATTTTCATATTTGATTAACCAATATTCATTTTTTGTAGGTTCTCTTATTATATACTAGAAAAAGACCCACGCGATGCGTGGGAATAGTTTGAATATATTTTATCGTAAGAAAACTAAATTTATTTAACCTAAAAACTTATTAGAACCTGTATTATAAAGAAAGTATTAACAAAAAAAGCTTCCAAATTATTCAAATAAAGTATTAGCAAAAAAATCTTCCAATTTATTTCTTCTTTACAATGATTTAAAAAGTTGTAATTTACAAGTTTAAATGAATCATATGATTTGACAAAACATTATCAATATACTTGAAAGACTTTTGAATTAAAATTTCGAGGGAGATTGGAAAAATAATGAGAGGGCTTTGTGACAAAAAAAAAAAAAAAAAAAGAGGACGGTTGTCAAGAAGTGAAAAAATTGGAGAGTTGAGATAATATTTTGTTATCTTAAAAGTCAAATACTTGTTGATTGTTACAATATTACCATAACGAATAGAATTTATACCACAAGTATAGAAAACAAAATAGTACTCTTAAATCCTAGTAACTAAATAAATTTAATAAAATAATTTATTATCCCTTGTGTTTCACATTTTTGCCAAATTTGTAAGAAATTGTAATTTAATGTAGTGAGATTTTTTGTAACTTATGTGTATCTATAGAGGGTAACACAATTTTGAATTAAAGTACTACAAAATAATGTTGGATTACCGTTATAAAGCTAAGAAAATGTAAAGACTATACATTAATGGTAAACTTTAATAGAAACACAATGATTTCAAATATTATTAAAAATATTTAATCGATATTTTACGAAAATTGTCAATTAGTATAAAAATATTAAATAATAAAAATAGACGCTAAAAAGGAAAAAAACATGGATGTTACGTTGAATTATCATTTATATCTCTTGCATCCATTTTTATAATTTGATTTATTAATAATTCATGTAATAGTTAGTTCACATAGCTATTAGTCTTTTAAATTAGAAAGGAAATTATAAGCATCCGTAGGAATAATTATAAATGGTAGTATTCATAAGTGTTGTAAAATTAAAATTTGTAAGAGCTTATTCAATATTGTCTTTTTCCCTTATGTTACATATTTACTTTAAAATAATGGAAATTTAGGTATATTAATTTTAAAATATATAAAATGTCGAAATAGTTATTTAAAATGTAGGCAACTTAAACATCATTAGGAGATAATTTATACAATTAATGATCCATTAATAGAAAATCATTTATTAATAACAGGATGTAAGGATGTTCAATATTTATTTGAAAGTGAAAAGAAAAACAAAATAAAAACAATATGGCACATATCGCTTAAAACAATTATTAGAACATCTTATATATGTATATTCTCGATTTTAAAACGATAGTAAAAAGGAAAAGAACAATTCTTGGGTTCACCCCTAGGGGTGAACCACTTTCATTCACCCCCTCTTAATTATCCAATTAGAATTTGCCATGTCATCTAATTAAAAAAATTAAAACAATTATTTTCTAAATAAAACAATAAGATTAAGTCATAACCACTCTTTTATAAACCCAAACCGATATATAATCTCGTTTAATTACAAAATCTAAACCCTAATTCTCTTTTGTAAACCCAAACCGTCATTTAAACTCGTTTAATCGTAAAAAATCTAAACCCTAATCGTACTTTCTAAACCCAAACCGACACTTAACCTCGTTTAATTGTAAAATCTAAATCCGTTTATAAACTCAAACCGATAGTTAAACTCGTTTAATCATAAAATCTAAACCCTAATTCTCCTTTGTAAACCCAAACCGTCATTTAAACTCGTTTAATTGTAAAAAATCTAAACCCTAATCGTACTTTCTAAACTCAAACCGACACTTAACCTCGTTTAATTGTAAAATCTAAATCCGTTTATAAACTCAAACCGATAGTTAAACTCGTTTAATCATAAAATCTAAACCCTAACCCTTTCTAATAAACATAAACCGATACATAATTTTCTTTTAGTGGCAAATTAAATTTTCTAATTAAATAAATATTTTTATTATTAATAAGTGGCAGATTTTGATTGGATGAAATAAAGGGGGTGAACATAAGAGATTCACCCCTAGGGGTGAACCCAAGTATTTTTCAAAGGAAAATATATATATAAGATGTCAGAGTAATTATTGAAAATTGCTTAGTTGAAGATCGTTAAATATTCTTATTTCAATTTATACCGCATTAATCAGAAAATTAATTTTTCATAATAATTTATTTTAAAAGAAGAAGAAATAAATATGGCTCATGTTGGCAAAAAAAAAGAGCAACTTTTATATATGTGTTGGGTATCTTTTAAAAATATTTTTATATGAGATTTGATATTGTATTCAGTGATTTTGAAAACTTTTCACCTATATAGAATTGTTAGCTAAACAAAATTCATCACCATATAGAAATTTTTTTAACAATATAGTCTGCATACACAAAACATATATATATATATATATATAAGGAAATATTTTCTTTATTTTGTGATCAAAAATAATAGAATTCAAATATACACAACATTTCTTACCATTATAAACGTAATAACATATGACACTATGGATTGAAATATACTTAGAAAAATGACATAAAAACAAAATAAAAAAATAACACCATCAATTATATTAAAAGTGATGTATATAAATTGATGTCATAAGAAAATTTAATCGTAAGTAATTTACCTTATAAGGATGATGACTTCGATTTTTTCATGAAATACATAACAAATAAAAACTATAGATAACCAGAATATTATAATGACCTCACATGAAGGTTCAAAATCAAATTTGAGACAAATTGAACATAAGAAACTCCATGAAAAGACAAATACAAAAACATAAGAAACCACCAAATGTAATGATCTCACACAAATGTGGGACAAATTAAAACATAAAAAAAATCTATAAGAGATAAATACAAAAAGGCATAAGAAACAACAAAGTGTTGTATGATCTCACACATGAATTTGATTTCAATTAGGTTCACTGTAGAATAAATGGCGGTAAGAGCTACTAAGCATAATTGGATTAAGCAAAAATATTAGTGAAGAACAAATGATTAGAAACCAATAAATTAAATTTAAAGCATCAAATTAAACGAACAGATAGCACTTAAAAAAAAAAACTACGCTCAAAACCTCATGTATTTTGGTTTTTGATGGATTTTAGGTCTCTCATGTTGAGACTTAAGATTGGTATATCGTATTGTGCTATTCTTATAATGATGAAATAAATTATAGTAAATTAGTATTTAAATGTAACCTCCACCATGAGAAAATACATTAACTTTTTAAAATTAAATTATGGGAGTTACAATAATAGTTAATGTTTGAATGCCATTGAATAGATAAAAAATGTTAATACACAATTTATATGATTTAGGTTACAATTTAGTATTAAAAGGTGGATTAATATATATGATTAAATGTATTATATTTGTGGTTTAATTAGAGATAAATAAAATCAATTTTATTAATATATTCATTATCTTTTTATAAAAAAATTCAATTCTCAAGAGATTAGTAATTATTTAAAATACTGATTCACTTTATTCTTATTAGAATAACATTGCAAAAACTATAATAATCATGTCATGTGAATTATTTATATCAAAGTGAAGAGATACAACATAAAATAACCATAGGGCAATATGCTATATGTAAGAAATAAAATAAAATTAAAAATATAACATATCTTATCGCATATACTTAAACTATTTTATCGCCAAATAAATTTTTTTATTTTTTTGAACAAACGCCAAATAATTTTTTTTTTTTTGAACAAACGCCAAATAAATTATTTTATCATCAAATAATTTGGATTTTATTATGGGAGTTACAATAATAGTTAATAGTGTGGTTGATGCCATTGAATAGATAAAAAATGTTAATACACAATTTATATGATTTAGGTTACAATTTAGTATTAAAAGGTGGATTAATATATATGATTAAATTTATTATATTTGTGGTTTAATTAGAGATAAATAAAATAAATTTTATTAATATATTCATTATCTTTTTATAAAAAAATTCAATTCTCAAGAGATTAGTAATTATTTAAAATATTGATTCACTTTATTCTTATTAGAATAACATTGCAAAAAATGTAATAATCATGTCATGTGAATTATTTATATTAAAGACTTAAAGAGAAGAGATACAACATAAAATAACCATAGGGCAATATGCTATATGTAAGAAATAAAATAAAATTAAAAATATAACATATCTTATCGCATATACTTAAACTATTTTATCGCCAAATAATTTTTTTTTTTTTGAACAAACGCCAAATAAATTTTTTTTTTTTTTTTGAACAAACGCCAAATAAATTATTTTATCATCAAATAATTTGCATTTTATTTTAAAATTTGATTTGAGGATTATTGTTGTTTTTGTTTTCGAAAATCAATTAAACAGATTTATTGGACTCAAACTAAAAAATAAACTGAAAATGACATGTGTTTAAAGAGTAGAGTGTCAAATGTCACATTCTTAGAGCTTGTTTTGAAGAAACCTTGTCATATTGGACTCAAACTAAAAAATAAACTGAAAATGACATGTGTCAAAGAGTAGAGTGCCAAATGTCACATTCTTAGAGCTTGTTTTGAAGAAACCTTGTCATATTATATAAAATATATATATATATATATATATATATATATATATATATATATATATATGTATAATAAATTCAAATTCAATTAATATTAGCTTCGTAGTGCATTGTATTTATCGACCCCTTCTTTTTTTTTTTTTTTGCTTTTCTTGTTTGTGTGAGTTTCTTTTTTCTTTTTAAATTCCAACTAGTTGGATGCCAAATACACGCAAGGGAATATATCTAAATTTCGTTTTAATTTAACTTCGATTTTTAAATATTATTTAAAGAGGAGTTTAGTGACATAGGGCTAAATATAAGATATAACTGCATAAATGGAAAAGTAGTCCAAGGGTATAAATTGCAAGTCTAGGTAAACAACCATCCTTTCTTTAGAAATTTAAAGAAATCTTCAAAGTGAAAATTCCTGGCAGCAGAAAAGCTAACCAATAATTTGTAAATGAATATCTTAATGCAAGTGTATACCAAATGTGGATCGATACTTAGTTTCTTGGAAACCTTTAGCAGATAATGTTTAATTTATTCGTTCGTATTGATAAATGGCATTGAAGCACTTCATCTAATAAAAATCATTATTGATCTAAGAGTAGAGTCATTGGAGTTTAAATGTGCTTGGACATTTTTTTTTCTTTTTTTTGGCCAAGTGTTTTAGTAAGACAACACCAAGTTTTCCACGAAAACAAACACTCTTCCATCTTGAGACGGCCAAACCCAATTGAAAACCCAAACCCTACCTCATTAGGCCTAAGCCCACATGTTAAATTTCTCGAAATTAAGCCCTAGTTTTAAAGCCTAAATCTAATGGAGGAGTTTTTGAAGTGGCCAAATTTCTGGTAAGAGGAGAAATAGGCAAGTATGGTCAATTATTCATTGAGCAGTTGACACGAGCAAAAGAAGAGTTGATTTAACCGAAGATGATGTTAGAACTGACAATTAGAGGTGAAGTGTGTACTGTGTGTTGTGAAGTTTAACGGAGATACAAATATGAGAGTGCATGGGTCAAAACGAAAACAAAAGTGAGAACATTGGAACTTCGTAAGAAAAAAATCAATTAAGAGCTTTCAACAACTAATTACTCTGTTTGTGTATATGCATGGATCATTTATGTGCCGCCAAATTCTGATTTTTCCCTCACTACAAGTACTCCTCAATGGCGGTAATAGCTTTTATGCCACAAGCTAGAAAAAAGGTATAATTACTGTGTTGATGATTATTGTAGGCAGATGACAATGTGTAATTGCTATAGAGCAGGGCTGAATTTTCCCAAAAGCTGAATTTTCTTTTTCGACCCATTTATAAACATAATATATACAAACAATTAAATAAACAGATGAAAATATTTGATTTGGCAAGAAAAATGCAATATCGTAAAAATATTAAGATTTTGATGGTATTTTTGATTTAATATATTTAATAGTTTTATCAAACATAATTAGAATTTATATAAAACCTTAAATTGTTCAGCACTAAGGGATGTATTGATTGTTGGTCGATAATTGAGTTTCTGATTATATTAAGGTTTTATGTATGAAGGCATGATTCATATTAAGGTAGTTACTTGTCAAGAGGCACAAGTAGGAAGAGACACAAGTAGAAAGAGACACAACACATTATGTTATAGTGTCTGTTTGTTTTCTATATAAATCAATTTTGTCGTCATGTAAATAACAACAAGTTTCAGTTCAATTAAAAGTTTCTGTTCTAGTTCTTGTCTTCTTCAAAAGAGAAGAGATACTATCTCTTACTCTGTTTCTTCATAGTCTCAATAATCCAACATGGTATCAGAGCTTTTTTGGTCTTGGAGCCTGTCCAAGTAAAACAAAGATAAGAAGAATTCCGCTGCGAGAAGAAGAGAAAGATGGAGCCAACATTTCTTACGGTTAGAAACCGAAAAAAAAAAAAAGGAGAAAAAGAAGAAGAAGAAGACGTAATAGAAAAGGAAGAACAAGAAGAGATGGTAACAAGAGAGAGTACCATCAGCCTTCACAAACACATTCACATGAAGTACCTTCAAGAGGAAGGCTCCAAAAGCGATGAAGAAGATAGGAAATCTTCTCTAAAGGCAATGGAGAAAACGGATGTGGATATGGAGTTGTGGAAGGAGAATTCTGAAACTTTGTTCAACAAGGTCTTGGTGAAGTTCAAGGATGCAAAGAAGACATCACTTGATGAAGTTGAGAATCCGAAGTAGGAGTCAACTGAAACAAGACGGAGGAAGCCGCCTGTGTAAGAAACAGAGCAAGGCTTAGTATCAAAAGGTGTTGTTGAGTTGTGAAGAACACTGCAACACGGAGTAAGCTTCTGTTGGGAGAACAGTGCAAGGCTACTCAGCAAAAAAGGTTCAAGGGAACTGATGAGACGTCATCAAGACGTGATGGTGATCAAAAGAGGACACCATAAGAGGATGCTTACCTCGGAGAAAAATGGAGCACAAGAGGATGCTTACCTCGGAGAAAAATGGAGCATAAGAGGATGCTTACCTCGGAGAAAAATGGAGCATAAGTCGGTTGAAGAGTAAACCGAAGACGACGTGAAGAAGATTCACGCACAAGACGTCACAGAGATGTGATGGTGATCAAAGGATCACAAATTTGGTGATCAAGAGGACACCAAAAGGGGTATAAGAAAAAAATCTCACTTTAAAAGAAAAGGAGTGGAAGAAAGTTGCAAAACAGCCGAAGAAGACGTGATGGAAGCTCACGGAGAAGATGAGACGGATGATCACGAAGCAGATGTGACAAACAGAAGAACACGTGGAGAATATTTGAAGTAGACATGGAGAAGATTTGCGGGAAAGAGAAGTCCCAAGACTTCCTATGTGAGATTGATGGATTTCACATGTGATTAGTGTTTGTGAAGAGTTAACAAAACAGAGGAAGAGGAGACATTGAAGATGTCATTCTACTGGTTTGAAGCCGAAAGTTATGACGAACTAAGAAGGAAGCTTAGTGTAAAACAGAAACTCAATTAAGGGGGACTGTTGGTCGATAATTGAGTTTCTGATTATATTAAGGTTTTATGTATGAAGGCATGATTCATATTAAGGTAGTTACTTGTCAAGAGGCACAAGTAGGAAGAGACACAAGTAGAAAGAGACACAACACATTATGTTATAGTGTCTGTTTGTTTTCTATATAAACAATTTTGTCGTCATGTAAATAACAACAAGTTTCAGTTCAATTAAAAGTTTATGTTCTAGTTCTTGTCTTCTTCAAAAGAGAAGAGATACTATCTCTTACTCTGTTTCTTCATAGTCTCAATAATCCAACATTGATCTGGGCAAGGAGAGACTCATTATCAACAAGACTTACCATTGCCTGTTCCAGATCCTCTTTAAGCTTCTCGATCTCCAGTTGACTGTTCTTCTGCTTTTCCTTTGACCAAGAGACAATGGCTCTCCTGCAGCTCACCAACCGATTTTCTACGGAGACCAGGAATCTCATTCCATGCATCATCAATTGGACGCTTCACGTCATCATTTTCTTTTAGACGTCTATAATACCTGAATAGGCCTTTCCTCTTTTTCTTATCTTGACCAAAATAAGAGACCAACGCCCTATGATCAGATCCTTCAAACTTCATATAATCACTTCTACCTCTTGGGAAAAGATCAAGCCATGCACTATTGGCCATAGCCATGTCCAGTCTACACTTCACTAAATGAGAGTGTCTGACTCCTCTCCAAGAAAAAAAATTACCAAAATGCTTGAGATCAAACACACCACATTCAGACATGAATGATCTAAACTCCACAAAAGATCCTTCGGCTTGCGGGCCTCCATATTTCTCTGAATTATCCAGGATGTCGTTGAAATACCCTGAAAAGAGCCACGGCTCCTCTCTTTGATATGCCGTTAACTTGAGCTTCTCCCAAACAAGCAATCTTTTTTATTGGTCCGGTTCTCCATACACAAAAGTAGCAAAAAAGGAAACACTTTTACAACGGATTTTGGTATCAATGAAATTTTCATACATGGTGATCACTTCCACATCCAAATCCTACTTCCAAAACAACGCTAGTCAACCCCCTCAATGTCCCTGAGGGGAGACTAACTGAGACTTATCACGATTCAAATAAACCAACTTTTTGAGAACAACAACATCAAAATTCTTTGTTTCCATGAGGAAGATGATGCCAGGAGAGACCTTCTTGGAGAAGTCTCTCACCCCACGAACTGTCTTGGGGTTCCCCAGCCCTTGACAGTTCTAGCAAATTACTTTTATGTGAGGCGGTTGGATGGATACCGAAAATCCATCAAACAAGGGAGGGTAGCCGCATCACGAAGGCTTACATCAGCAAGAGGGGGAACTTGGACTGCAGGGGTAACCAGATGATCCATATTAAGCCGCCTTCTAGGTGTTGGCTGGTTACCAAGCAGCTTCTTCTTCCTTGAATTCACACCACCAAGAGGTTTTGGGCTAGGCTCTTTCCTTGGTGGTCTTCCGGGCATTCTTTTCCCAACTTGTCTTTTCTTTGGCTTTGGCTTGACCATGTTAATGTTGACTGGTCCTAGGTGCTGAGAAACAGGAATTCGTCCTTGACTAGACGAGCCCTCATCAGATTGGGATCTATCCGGGAGAGGAGGTGGAGCAGGGAGGGAGGCCCTCACCATTTGTTCTGCTGTTTCCTCGAATTCTCCTAACTCCTCAGCTTGTCTAACTATTTCCTTCCTTGCAGCACTCTCAACTGGGTCAGGGAAATTTGTAGACTATATCATGACATCTCGCAACTCTCCCATAGCAATCTCCACAGCTTCTTTGGACAAAGACTGAACAAGATTCTGAGTGGAAGTGGTTCCAATCAATCGATCGTATTTATGACCAAGTCAAGAAAACACAAGACTAATATTAGGTTTCAATCTTTTTTTTCTCCGTATCCTCAATCTCATTTTCATTTAATTTATGACCATATTATGTTGTTTTTTGGCAGCTTGAAGAGGGATTTTGGTAGCTTGTATTTTGGAATCTTGAAGTGAGATTCTGGATTATGGAAGCTTGAAGTTGTATTTTGGCAGCTTTAAAGATGGAGTTATGATGCCGTTTAGGATATTTTATTTTTCTTCTTTTCAATGCGGTGGTGTATTTTTTGGCGACATGTAACACAACCTTATGGTCTATTGTTTTTGGATATGTAACACAAAATGTACCAATTGGTCTTATGCCCATTTTTTTTTCTAGTTAGTGACTATTTTTTTCTGTTACTGTTATTTTTCAAATGAAACTTTTTTCATTCATTAAACGCCCACATAAAAACACAAGTCTCAAACATACAAACCTACTCTACTTAGTCTAAAATACGTCTCATACTTGGGTCATACTCATACATCTTCTTAAAGCTCAAACACAACATAATTGTACTGATTCCAGCTCCAAAACTCAATACATAAACATGAAAAACATGATAATCAATTAATCACCAAAGCAAACCCGACAAGGTTATTCAAGCTCCTTAGCTGCATTTTGCACTCTCGGATCTCCTTGTCAACCACAGCCTCACACACACGCGTCTCCATGGCAATTGTATCAATCTCGGATTCACAAGCATTGAAGCCTTTTTGCAATGTGATCAAAGCTCCTTCAATATTATCCACTTTCTCAATCAAGTCCTCAATCTCTTCGATCATAGACGTATCGGTCCATTTAAATGTATGATTCCAATCCTGTCATTTAGAAAAACATAAACTCAATGCAAACTTCAAGTTGCAGACACAGCACAACCAAATTCTATCCGATAATTGAGATGTCACACTTACCCCATCCCTTCCAAATGGACATGCATGAAACCATCTTCCAGGGTTTTTAGCAGTCGTCGATGTCTTCATAACTACAGGTTCTCCACTTCTACATCTCTTAGGAAAACCTCATCTACGATTATCCATGAGATCTTCGAAAACTGTAATTGATGACGACAAACTCAAGTTTAATGAGAAAATATGGAGAAGAGGAGAAACACGAGCTCACTAACATAAGCTAAAAACCCTAAATCAAGATTTTGCCACATGCTCCCAAGAAGAAGATGACTGTGAGCAAGAAGAAGATGAATTCTTAAAATCCTTAAATCGAGATTTTCCTCCAAATATACTCTAAGAACTTCAAATTTACTTACAATTTACAGATGAGACAATTTTAGATCAAATATATTTAAATGAAATATTTTTATTAAAACAAAATTAAGGTATTAAACGTCCAAATAAAAAATGAGATATTTTTTAGATTTTTTCCGAGATAGAAACAAATAAAAACTGAAAACGCAAGAGCTATAGAATGCTTGAATTAGTTCTCGATGTAACACATGGTTTCTCAAAACTCTTTTGATTAATAGAAAATATGTTTACAAGGTTTCTCCTTAACACTATTTTCTATTCTCTCAATCACTTGTTCTTCGATCACACACGATCAAGAACAATAACTCACTCTCTAAACACCTAAGCCCTCTTTAAGTCTTTAGCTTTCTTTTCCTTAAAAGCTAAAACTTAATTGTTAGGAATTCTTTCTCTTGTTTGTGCTAAGCTTTGTTCAAGCCTTAGCACCTATTTATACTAAATAGGACAAGGTCATACAACAGACCAATTTCCAATCTTAAAACTACTCGGAATGGACAATTTCCTTTTTCTTTGAAGAATAAGAAATTGTCCTTTGCCTTCATGTTTCCTTTTCCTCCTATGAAAAGGAGACTCTTCAGTCTTCTAGAATCTTTTAGTATCCATAGCCAATTACCATAGATCGACTTACCAATTTTCATATGCTCGCTTCACGTTGTTCTATTCTCTTGAACTATCCTTTTTAATCTTGTGTCTCTTAAGAACCTGTATTTGTAACCTTCTAACGATGCATCAAAATCTTGCAGAAACATATCACCACCAACAATCACAAATCTTAAAAACTGAAGTCTTAATCTTAATACTTAGCAAATTTGTTCAAAAACAAACTCCCCCAGAATTTGGCATAGTGTGAAAAGCAAACATATCCAAACATAGTCTGAAAAGCAAACATATCCAAAAGACAGTTATATAGCCACCCATTCATTCTCCCCCTGCTTGAGAGCACAAGGTTAAAAACAGTTTTCTTACAATCTGCTGGACATAGGGTGATTAATGATAAGTCGGTGAACCACTTCATTCAATCTTGAGAGCGCCTGAGCTGTGTCTACTAGGGCCACAAACATTCCTTCTGAGTCATCCACATCAATCTTTGGCAAACGAATGCTTCCAAGTTCCACAACGTCAAATCCTTGATAACCCGGATCAGATTGAGAAGCAGGTTCTGAGGCATCTTGTGGAGCAGTCCTTGAGGTGTTTGGTTGAGTCTCAGATTTTCCTTTAGCCTTCATCCTTTTGGTATATGCATCACCTGTTCTGATATCCTTCTTGTAGAACCGTGGACTCACAAACTTCTCACTAGAATAGATTGGTAGAGTTCCTTTTGATTCATAAGCATACCAAAAATGATTCGAGGAAACACTAACCATCTTTCATCCTTGTTTTGCACGATTGCCATCACTTGATTAAAGATCATCTTGCCAACATCAAATCTGATCCCTTTGAACTTGATTCTCCAGATTTTAGCTTCTTCTTAGGAGGTGCAAGCCCAAACTCTTGGTGAACCCTCTTCTTTCTGGCCATCTTCTCTTTCTGCTTCTTCTGAGCAATGCGCTCTAGCTGTTCTCCAACAGAGATCTCAGTTGGCTCAATTTCATTTTCAGAAACATGGGGTTCTTCTCCATCATTCAGATTCTCTGCTTCATCCTCAATTTCTTCGAATTTTTCATCATCTCGCCCAATTGCATGTCTCTCTTCCTCTAAAATTCAGCTTCCTTGGAAGATCTAGAGCTATTTCCTTCTGTTGGAACAACCCTTTCCTCAGATCCACCGTTATCTTCTTCGATTTGTTCACCAAGAACCTCATGATTTTTAATTTCTTCATTAGGTTTCTTTGATTCATCTTCTAGTTGCTTGATTTCTCCAGACCCGCTGCTTTTATCTCCTTCACTTGTTGTGGTAAACGAGTCTTCGTCGTCTTCATATGGAACCAGAGTTGGAGTAACAACTTTAGATCCAACTGATTCATCGATGGGTTCGTCGATTAGCTGTGGGTTTTCTTCCACTCCATCCGCACAAGTTTCTCGAATCGTTCTTCTTCCTCCGATTGGACCTCTGCGAGTAGCTTTCACCATTGTTGAGAGATTCTTTTCTTTTTCCTTGTTTTTATTTTTTATTAGGGTTTGATATCTTTTCGTTTTCCTTTCTCTTGTTTTTCACCCCGCGAATCTTTGTACCAAGATTTTCTGAAATCTTGTTTTGAAATTCAAAAATCTTGATTTTTGAACTTGTATAGTAAACCAAACATCAATTAAACCAACCCTGATCTTCATTCTTTTGAGCTGAACTGGATTATTTGAACTGAATCGTACATACTCTTGTTCCAGCTTTTGCATTAATCGCTAAAGAAGTCAGGTTAAAGTTCACACACTCCAAGCAAATTTCTTAGGGTCACAAACCTATTAAAATCCAATGCTTTGGTGAACACATCAGCTAACTGTACTTTCGTGCCAACATGCTTAGTAGAAACTTTCTTTCTTTCCACAAGTTCTCTGATGAAGTGATGTCTTACATCGATGTGTTTTGTTCTTAAGTGTTGAACCAGAATTTTCGAGATATCAATAGAACTTTTGTTGTCACATTAAACTTCTAAAACTCCAGAGTCTATTCCGTAGTCTGCTAACATTTGTTTCATCCGGACCAGCTGTGTACAGCAACTTCCCCTGGCAATATACTCAGATTCTGCTGTAGATACAGAAACAAAATTTTGTTTCTTGCTCAACCAAGAGATCAAATTGTTTCCAAGGAAGAAACATCACAATATCCAACCAGATTTTGATTAGAATTTCTTGAATACCATATACCAAGGTTCATAGGTCCTTTGACATACTTTAGGACCCTCTTCACTACTTCTAGATGAGATTGTTTAGGCTTTGCTTGATATATATCTAGCACAATTTCCAACACTTAGACAGAGATCAGGTCTACTAGCTGTTAGGTATAGTAGACTTCCAATCATTCCCCTATAAGTTTTGACGTATACATCCATGCCATCCTCATCCTTTGATAGCTTTAGTGAAGTACTCATAGGAGTTTTTGCTTCTTTGAACTTATCCATTTGAAATTTCTTCAAAATCTTCTTCGCATAAGTATTCTATGAGATATAGATTCCTTTATCTGATTGGACTATCTGTAATCCTAAGTAGTACTTTAGCTTCCCTACTAAGCTCATCTCAAATTCTCGTGTCATGTTTTCCACAAACTGATCCACTAATTTCTGTGAGGTACTCCCAAAGATGATGTCATCAACATAAATCTGCACCATCATGATCTCTCTGTCTTCTTCTTAAATGAACAAAGCCTTGTCAACACTTTCTCTGAGGCAACCTTTTTCAAGCACTAAATTAGTCAGTCTTTCATACCATGCTCTTGGTACTTGTTTAAGTCAATACAAAGCTTTCCTTAATCTGAAAATATATTCAGGCTTCATCATATCTTCAAATCCTTTAGGTTGCTCAACATATACTTCTTCTTGTAGAATCCCATTCAAAAAAGCATTTTTTACGTCCATTTGATGAACTGTGAAGTTTAGAATACAAGCCATTCCTAAAAACAGTATGATGGATACAAGTCTTGCTACAGGTGCAAAAGTTTCCTCAAAATAAACACCTTCGATTTGATTATAGCCTTGTGCCACCATTCTTGCTTTATTTTGGATAACTACTTCATTTTCATCACTCTTATTTTTGAAAATCTATTTAGTCCCTATGACATTTGTATCTGCAGGCCGACGAACTAACTCCCAAACTTCATTTCTCTCGAACTGTTCTAGTTTTTCTTCCATAGCAATGATCCATAAATTATCTTCAAGTGCTTTCATATGATTATTTTGGTTCGACCGATGATACAAAGCATTGAAAGTGCAGTGTTTCCCATTCTGCAAAGTTACTTGTCATCTTTTTGAAATCAAGCTTTACTCCTTTGGTCTTCATTTTACCCTACAGAGTGATTTTTATGAACTTGAACTTCCTGCACTTCTTTTTGAACATCTTCCTGTTCTAAATCTGATACCTCTTTATCATCCTTCTTGTTTGTCGCAGACAGCTCGGTGTCACTTTCTCCTAGTTTCCCATTTACTTTTGACACATAGTGATCATCAAATACAACATTAACTAATTCTATGATTGCACATGTTCTTTTATTGTAGATTCTGAATGCTGTATTGGTTTCTGAATAACCCAAAAACATGCCTTCATCACTTTTGGAGTCAAGCTTTCCAAGATAGTCTTTGTCATTTAGAATATAGCATCTGTACCCAAACACATGGAAATAGCTTAGAGTAGGAGTCCTTCCTTTCCATAGTTCGTATGGTGTTTTCATCGAATCTCTTCGCACATAGACTCGATTTATGATATAGCATGATGTGTTTATTGCTTCTGCCCAAAACTTCTGTGGGACTTGATTTCCGTGTATCATTGCTCTAGCCATATCTTGGAGTGTTCTATTCTTCCTTTCTACAACTTCATTTTGTTGTGGCGTTCTTGGAGCTGAAAACTGATGTGCAATTCCATGACTTTCACAAAAATCTTTCATGGATTCATTCTGAAATTCTCCACCATGATCACTTCTAATCCTTTTGATACCTCCTTTTCATTGATAAGCTAAAGAGCCCAGATTCTGAAGCTATCTGATGAGTCAGACTTTTCTCGAATGAAACGAACACATGTGTATCTAGAGAAGTCATCGACTAATACAAACACACTTCTTTCCTGCTATACTCTCTACTTGCATTGGTCCCATTAAGTCCATGTGTACTAAATCTA